CAGTACACAAAGCAACAGTTCCCATCATCTCATATAAAACAAGCAATAGTATAAGAACAGATTTGCAGCGACAATGACAGCAGGCTACTCACTCATAAGTCTGCTTATTCTTGGCTCAATAAGTCTTTTCATTCTAATTGCCTCTTTTCAGCAAGGTTAGATCTGTCGGGACTGCCTTTACCTTAATCCGTAACAATGTAGCAAGCAAATGAAAGGCTGGGAGGGCACGATTTTTTTTCTCAATGAAATACCAAAGGGACAAATAAAGGAAGAAAACTTTGTCTTTCCAACAGGTTAAGCTGTCACTGTAGCCCACAGCGTCGTAACCCAACCAATCCAGCAATAACAGTTCCATACAGTAATTGCATTTCTACAGAGCATTTCCATCACTATAATAAACAGCCATTCTTACAAATCTCAAGCCTACTCACTGGAGCAACCTTTGGTGGCACAAATGACTCCACATCTTTCTTTGTGATTCTACCATCTGGTCCAGTACCTAAAAAGGTCAAAACATAAGAAGATTTCAATTATTTGCAACAGGGCATTGCTTCTAAAGGTACCAGTTTTATTCAACAAAGAGAATCGCTTAACACAACCTCCAGTGAGGACAGCTGCATAGTCAGGCTGGTCCTCACAGGGAGGAACGAAAAGAATAGGCAAGTATGTACCTGGAGGGACAGCCACTTCATAGTGAGAGCAAAGAAACGTAAGGGCAGCCTACCTTTCACTTGGGCAAGGTCAATTCCTTTTTCTGCTGCCAGTTTCTTTGCCAGGGGACTAACCAGGATCCTTCCTTTCCGGGGAGGCGGCCCAGCTGCGGGGACTGCTGGAGTGGAAGGAACAGCAGGCTGGGGTGGAGGAGCAGCAGCAGGAGTTGTGACCACCTTAACAGAAGAATCAAAGCCATTAGCTTCAGGATCACTCAGCAAAAGCTTTGAAGACACCACAAAAGAACAGGACCACCTACTTATCAGCCAAGAGAATAGCAAAAGTAGTTACTAATCTGAAAGAATTTTCAGATTCAGAGAACATCCCCAGTGCCAGAAATTAAATCAGAGGCCTCCTGGGAAGGAGGCCAACTAAGCTGCTGAACTATACACCAAAAAAGGGTGAAAAAAAACCCCTTACGCTCCCAATTTTCGAGGATGCGGCATTAGAACTGGCACAAGCAACAGGCTGGAGAAGAGATCATAATGACTGACTACCTGCTCCAGTTTTTGGAGGGCAAACTAGCAATCACTTCTTAGGTCACCGACCACCAACACATGTGTTAGCCTTGCATTCACAGAATCATAAACATTACTGTTGCAGCCAGGGCTTCATGCAGTCAAACCAGCAGAACAGTTCAGATCAAACCTCTTAATGGTTCCCATAACTTCTCTCACATGCTAAGAACTGTCCTTACTGGTGGAGGAGGGGGAGGAGGAGGAGGAGCTTGTGCCTTCATGTCGGTTACTGCAGTGTCTTGGTAGTCAGCAAAGGCTGGAATATCAGATTCTTTCTCCACAATGATGCAGAGAGCTGTTCCTAATGGCACATCTCTTGTTCCTTCAGGCACTAAGATTTTTGCCAAGTAGCCTTCCTCCTGCACTTCAAACCCTGTAAGGGAAAGAAAAAAAAAGTGGTTTGGTGCCTGATGCAGCTGAAGAGTTCCTCTAAATGCTGCTTCCAAAGACTTGGGTAGCTAAAACCCTGTCCTATATTTAGTAGGCAAAAGAATCCTTTTCGGTGCAACTGGCAGGGAAACATCTCCACAAACAATACTAAGAAGGATCAATGAAGAAATAGAAGTGTTTTTAGGAGTGGCGATGTCTAACTTCTCATTCTGTTGGAGAGCTAACAAAACTTGTTTTAGTTGCCACATAGCTTTACGTCCTGAGCAGCTAAGAGAACAGTTGGCACAGCAGCTACTCTGGATCCTCCCCTTTTAAGGGCACCTCTTCCGTTCTCGGCTTTGGACTTGACTCACCTATTGTGGCTTTATCTGTCTCAATCTCTGCCAGTAAGTCTCCCTCACTCAGTTTCTCCCCGACCTTCTTCTCCCATCTCTGCACTGTGCCCATTGTCATGGTAGGTGACAGGGCAGGGAGAGTGACCTGTAAAGCCAGAGAATAAAAGAGAATCAGATTTGGGTAATCCAAAAGAAGCAGGAAGGCAGTTCTAACTTCTGACTAAATGAAGCCAACCTAAAAAAGTAGCCAGCCTTTAATGCACTCCTAGATATGGCTCCATTACAGCAAAGCACAACGCTGTGCTATATTGCTGGTTTGGCTTCTTTTATCAAGGCCTAAGCAAGAAAGCAAGCGAAAGCAAAAAGCAAGAAATCTATACATCTAAATAATTATTACCACTATCACATTGGAAGTGTCTTGGCAGCTGCTATCTACAAGGCTAAAAGGAAGACTGATGCAAGTCACTGAGGAAAACTGATGCAAGTCACTGTCTGGGACAAACAGGTTTGGTCCCTTTAAAGGCTATACAGACTTGTCTTCCAATAAGCACTCAAAGATGCTGTAGGTTTGCACATGCATATTGCTGTGCCACAAACACAGCACATACGCGTACAGCTTCAAAGCAGAACTGGACAGATAAGGCAAACAGTAGGAAGTAAGCAAGTTTAGTAGCTAAAACACAAGTCAGATTAAGAAGCCTTTAGTTAACTCTTTGATCAATTACTAACTTTGCATAATATCTCAGACAAATCAGTTCCCCCATCTATCATCTGTGGAATGACGTTTTCTTTTTCAGAGGACTGTTGCAGAAATACCCCAGTACAAAGTGCTCAAATACAAAACCAGTGGATGTACACTTCCATAGCTAAGCAAGGTGAAGAAATTATCCACAAATGCAACTCATTATTAGTCACTCACAAACACATCTGGTGTGTTCATCAGAGTATCACAGATGAGTTCTGCTCTGAGATGTAAGCAGGGCCTTCAGAGATCATTTGTACTTAGCACAAGGTCTTTTTATACCAGAACTGTCCAAACAATGCAAATGTAGCAGACTTTTCTAGCCTACATAACAATCCTGGAGAGACAAGTCTCTCCTCTACTACCCAGAGTGCTAAAATAATTTTCTGAAAAAAGCTTTCTGGTACTTCCCCAAACACCTGCTTTAAGCATGCAACAATTTGAGTATCACACACTCCTGCAATTATAGCTAATAACTTCCACTCCAGAGTACTTAATACAAAATGCCCTAGAGCTAGCAATGACAGAGACAGAAAAAGAGTGCAACAAGCCTTAGATCATCAGCAATGCTCTCTTACCTGCATATGTGGAGGATAAGAACTGCCAGGAGCCTGAGGAGAAGGCTGAGGTGGTGGTGAGGGAGCTGCAGCTTGAGGGGGAGGCACTGAGGCTGCAGGGGGGGCAGACGCTGCAGAATCCAGAGTATAATTTTTAAAGGCATCAACATATTCAGGCCTAGAAGAAAACAGAATCACAAAACCAGTCAGATGGCTGTCTCTAAGCCTTTCACGCAAGGTACCCAAGAAGCCCCAAGAGAGAAAATTCAAGGATTAGCAAAATACATACTTTTCTACTGTGATACATATTATGGCCCCAATAGGAACATCTCTTGTTCCTTCTGGCACCAGGATCTTGGCCAAGTAGCATTCCTCCACACTCTCAAAGCCAACTGTTGCTTTGTCTGTCTCCACCTTTGAGAGAGAAAAGATGTCATTATGGCAATGGAAAAGAACAGTGAGCTCAGAGCCTTCCAGTCTGATAGCGTAGGGTCACAACACACACAGTTCTGGAAAAATCACCCTGTGGCACCAGCTGTAAGAAAGTACACTCTCAAACAGGTTAAGTGCTGCTCCTGCTCAGAAAGAGGAAAAGCAGCAACCAGCTTTTAAAGGCCGTTAGCCACTCGTTCCCAACAGCACCCATTGGGATCCGTGATCTTGCACATAAGATCCATGTTCAAGCGAGGGCAGCCAGGGACAGAACACAGGACGCACATCCTGCCCATCCTGTGGCCCCATGATACCTCTGCTATGAGCTCCCCTTCACCGATCTTGTCACCCTCCTTCTTTTCCCAGCGTGCAATAGTGCCCATCTGCATCGTTGGGGACAGAGCCGGCAAGGCCACCTGTAAGGAATAGGGCGGTGTTACAACCAAGACAGCCCCGACAGTAGGGACCACACACACAGTGCAAAGAGAGGTCCTGTGACAAATTCAATTGCCCAGCACGGGGAAGCAAAACCCGAAGAGACAAAGTAAAGGGGCTGCCCCCGAAGCAGGGGACGCACACGGGTCTGTCCTCTGGGGGACTCCA